ATATTTTTGGGAAACGAATCATTGAAAATAACTTTATGGGTACGACCCTCCAAGTATGATGAAATCCACCCTAATAGAGCAGTCGGAAAACCCATAATATCGAGTTTATATAGCAAAAGCTTATGCACTACGGTATCAAGTCTGTATAAATAGCGTCAGTTTGTAGTTTATTTATAAATCCGTTGTGATCATGGCACATAAATTCTAAATGATTAGTAGTAGATCTGCCTTTCAAAAATCCATGATGAAAAGGTGGTATTATGCTTTTTATAAAATGTGACATCCGAAGTGAGACTAAGAGTTCAAAAAGTTTAGGAATGGCGATTAACTTAGCTGTATAAGTTAGATACTTTGCCCCTCAACTTCCCTTGCTCAATCAATCACGGATGCTGATTGGCGCACAGGCATCTCCTCTACAACTCCCCTGGCGGAGACCGTAGTGAGCGGATCGTCGCTGGGCATTGGTTGTTGTCGGTAACCTCACCTTGTTACACATGCTCTCATTGGAAGTAGTTGTAGTTGTATTAGTAGACAGACATGGGATCCTCTGCGATCACCTAGAACCTCTGCGTTCACTTGTCTTTAGTCTTTGAAGCGAAACCCAACACGGCCACTGTCGCCAACACCATATTTGAAAAGAGGGGAGTTTTGTTGTCATTGCCGCTATCGAAGCCTTACCCCCACTCCCCTGAATTAAACATTGGTCCTTCGAGCCGGATTTGCCAAGTTGAGAAGTTTGCCTGGATATTAATTGCTGTTTTTTTGTTATCTCTTTGCAAAGGAATCAACTCCAAAACATACATCCCCCCTCATTAATCGCACCACCGCATCAACATCATCCTATTCATCATCATCAAAATCAAAAAAGGTACGTAAGTTCAGTGAAATTTGTTATTGTGAGCTTAGAGTGCTATTTTTTTGGAAAACAAGTGAAAAAGTGTTAGTTTTTGTTTGCTTCGCGGTACTGGTCACCTTTGTATTACCCTAATTCGCGGTATATTTGAACATACAGTCCACAACAATTTGTTTTGGAAAAATATATATTAAAAATTCTTTTAAAACGAGACAAATTCGCATTATTTTCCACTATATCGCGAAATAATCGAATTTCCAGATTCATTAGTTTTTTAATAATTCAAATTTATCCAAAAAAAAATATATATATTTGTTAAAAAATAATCTACCGCTGTAGTGTGCATAATTTTGTGTTTGGTTATTGCAATATTCCCCACACATTTCTGCATTGCCGAGTGATCTGTTTTCTATCTCCCAATTCGTTATTACTCTCAACGAGAATAAAATCACCACATTGCAAGTGCCGCTTTTTCTAATTTACATCCAAACATACCAACACTTGCTAAATCCCCCCTTACCTCGCCCCAACACACACTGTTTGGTCATTTTCGTTGGTCTGTTTGTAATATTGCAATAACAATAATTCCCTTCCAAGCGCCTTTTTCTAGCGTCAGTCTACTAACCAACAACTATAACAACAACTTTTTTATTTCTCCAACTCTCACTGTTGGTTCGTCGTCGTTGGTTAGTTCGTAGCGAGGCGCTCTGCTGACGCTGCTTGTGTTTTATTTTCTTTTGTGCGATATCTGTTGCGATCATTGTCGTTGGTCAGCTCGTAGTGTGGTAGTTAACCCACCCCCGTCACCGTTCGACCATCAAACACTGCTTGTGTTTTATTCTTCTTTGTGCGGTATTCGTTATTCACCACTGCACAGTGGGTTCAAGTAGAAAAATTGTGAATTTTAAAAAATAAAATTTTGAAAGAATAATTTTAATTCGGGTTTGATAATTGTTGATAAAAAAGTGTTTTTGGACTTTTTTTAATTTTTGTCACCCTACATTCGGCATATTATATGTACTTTATTGTGCTCTTGGGCAAGGAAAATATCGATATTTTAGAAACTTTTCTTAAAAGTTTTGCTTATTTTAAAGAAATTATTAGTACGCGTGTACATATCAATATTTGTCAGTTGGAAATACGTGCACCCTATGAAAAGTATCTCGATTATTTGATAACCGTTGAGGGTACTACCTCAGACGGAATTGCTTCTGCTGATGAAAAATATCAGTCCACCAGAGAAAACTTCGTTGAATGTTTATCGGAAATAACCGAACTGTTGCAGAAACTAAGGTCTGCGAAAACACCTCCTTCTACACCATCTGAAATTCGTGTTAGTACCCCCCAGAATGTCCAAAATCAGGTTTCTGTGGCGCGCTCATGCAATAGGTCGAATACTTCACAGTCCGGTACTACCAATCCAAACAATGTACTGAATAATAGTTTGCCGCCTTTATCCAATATGGCATATCCAGATATTCAGAGTACTTCTGATATCTCAGTTTCGAATTGGAGTTTACCGCCTTGTGGTTCCGACACCATGCATAATCTTAATTTACCGCCGTGTGATATAGATGATTTCCACGGAGATTTTTTGTCGTGGCCCACGTTCCGGGATTTATTTTCTGCAATGTTCATAAATAATTCCCGACTAACTGATATTGAGAGGTTATGTCATTTGATTAAGAAAACTCAAGGTGAGGCTAGGGAAATTGTGTCGAAGTTTCCACTCACGCATAAAAGTTTTGTTCTGGCTTGGAAAGCTCTTAGGGATGCTTATGACAACAAAAGAATTCTAGTCAGTAGTCATTTAAAGCTTTTGTTCGATCTTCCATCGTTAGCTAATGAAACGAGTTCAGGTCTTAAGACTTTACAGAGAGGCATAAACGGTTGTTTATCTGCCATGTCAGTCTATGACATTGTCACGGATCATTGGGATCCTATTTTAGTTTTTATTTGTATTCAGCGTCTGCCAAAACTTACGGTGACACTCTGGGAACAGAATCTCACAGATAAGTCTTCCTTCCTTTCACACATCACATAACTCTCGAGTCCTTCTCAGTACCGCCATGGTAAATATTAATCACGAGGGAAACTATTATCCAGGTGGAGCCCTCATTTACCCTGCGTCTGAGGCTAGTTATATAACTGAGCACCTTCACCTTTTCTGTTGACCCTGCTTTAGTTCGTTCTCTGTCAAATCTCCAGTTGGCTGACCCAAACATTTTTGACTGTCGTTCAGTAGATATGTTGTTGGGTGCAGACTTATATCCGCAAATATTATTGCCTGGGGTACAACAAAATATATTAGGTTCTCTATTGGCGCAAAATACCGTCTTTGGTTGGGTCCTCTCGGGTCCAATTCCCTCCTCACCCTTGCAGGTCTTTACGACCACTTTGAGCTTCAGTGAGGAAGACAGCCTCAATAAAACCATTTTGCGTTTTGGGGAACTTGAGGAGGTTCCCAAACGCAAATTACTTTCGTCATCAGACAAGTTCTGCGAGGACAATTTCCGGTCCACAACTACGAGAAACTCGAAGTTTCGTTACGTTGTCTCACCTCCCATACGTTCTGAATTTCCTCACAGCCTAAAAATTCGTGATTCGCCTCAGAATGTTTTGAGTCCATTTTTATGGAATGAAAATTCGCTTCAACGCAAACTTTCTTATAGGTGCCCCCCTTCCTGCTCTGCCAGAACCCCTTGTTGAAGAATCGCCATTGAGTTTAGTCAATCGGTATAAAAACGTAAGGCATTGACGCATCAGCTTTCCATTAGGTTTAAAGAAAGAGTTTGTTTAGTTATTCGAGACACATCCTTGTAATGATAGTAAGGTTCGCGTTGTAGACGTCCGAACTGCTTAGGGTATTGTTAGGCGACCAGTCGTCAAGTTAATCGTGTTACATAATTAAGTCTGTTGTTTGCGAAATATACCTGGTTTGGTTGGGTAATTTCGGCCCCGTCAATTTGTAATTGCCGCGGTATAGATATCTAATTATATGACTTAAAATGATTTGAATAAAATGCTCACAAATAAACTGAACTTACGTCCTAACCTATTACTTGTAAACCTTATTGCACATGAATTAATACATAACATAATTCCTTTGAGCTTTATTTAGTTGATGCACATGCATGTATATCAAGGTGGGCGGCAATGTATAAGTTATATACTTTGCCCCTCAACTTCCCTTGCTCGATCAATCACGGATGTTGAATGGCGCACAGGCCTCTCCTCTACAACTCCCCAGGCGGAGACCGTAGTGAGCGGATCGTCGCTGGGCATTGGTTGTTGTCGGTAACCTCACCTTGTTACACATGCTCTCATTGGAAGAAGTTGTAGTTGTATAAGTAGACCGACATGGGATCCTCTGCGATCACCTAGAACCTCTGCGTTCACTTGTCTTTAGTCTTTGAAGCGAAACCCAACACGGCCACTGTCGCCAACACCATATTCGAAAAGAGGGGAGTTTTGTTGTCATTGCCGCAATCGAAGCCTTACCCCCACTCCCCTGAGTTAAGCATTAGCAATACATCTATAGTTAGTTATAGAAAGTAACAAGGCTAGATAAATTTTTGAAATTCCACCATGAACTGGAATTAGAATCGGAGGTACCTCCCAAAAAATTTAGAATTTATATGTACTTATCTATTGATCGATTACAGATACAGTCTCCAAATATATATATATATATATATATATATATATATATATATATATATAAATCGATTAAGATTTGGAAAAAGCTATCATACACAATTTCGGTTAAATTGATACACCAAATACGCTATGTATCCCCAATTTCAATGGAAAGCGTGACGGAATTTTGGTCCAAAAATAAGAAGACAAAATCCAACAGACCCTTTTGCGATTTTGGGAAATCGAAGAGCCTCTTAAACGCAAAATATTATCTCCATCGGACCGTTTTTGTGAGGAGAATTACGCCCGGACTACTCGTAGGGACTCAGAGGGTAGGTATATAGTTACGCTGCCACTTAAATCTCATATTAGCGCTATCGGGTATTTGGAAGAGTCTCGCGCGAACGTCCTCAAACAATATTATCGGAATGAGAATTCTTTATTGAAAAAGCCTGAATTAAAACTAGTTTACGACCAGGTTTTATCGGAATATTTAGAACTTGACCACATGAGGCTGGTACTCGCAAATACTTCTATGGATGTCCTTTCGTGTTATCTACCACATCACCCCATCATAAACCTAGCAAAACAGACCACGAAACTTAAAGTAGTGTTTAATGCCTCAAATAAAACTTCGAATGGGCAGAGTCTTAACGACATATTGCACGTAGGTCCAACGTTACAACAAGATTTAGTTCTTTTGATCCTCCGTTGGCGTATCTTCAAATTCGTGTTTAACTCGGACATTACTCAAATGTATAGGCAAGTTCGTGTAGATTCAAAGCATTCGCCCCTTCAGAAAATTTTGTATCGGAATTCAACAACAAAACAGGTCCTAGACTACGAACTACAGACAGTGACGTTCGGTGTAAACTGTGCACCATATTTAGCGATTAGAACGCTTCTTCAACTGGCCGATGATACTGGGTCAGAGTTTCCCCTCGAGGCGCATATATTGCGAAAATGTATGTACGTTGATGACGTTTTGGCAGGAGCTCACGACATCGAGACTGCATTGGCAGCTAGGGACCAGTTGATTAGGGCCCTATCGTCGACAAAGTTCGAGCTGCGAAAATGGACAGCGAATAATAGAGCTATTTTGGATCGTTTCCCACCTGAGCATTTGGTAGATGCTCAGCTTTTATCGTTTGTAGAAGCTAGTAGTTCTAAACCCCTGGGTATTAGGTGGAATGCGCGTTTAGATTGATTTTTCTTCGAAGTGAGTCCTATTGTCAATAAACACTTAACTAAATGGGAAGTTCTTTCGGCAATCGAGAAATTGTTTGACCCTGTCGATTGGTTGGCCCCTGTGATTGTTAGGGCGAAAATGATGATGCAGAAGATTTGGCTGGACAACATTGGTTGGGATGATCAACAGCTACTGAGGCTGAATGGAGAAGTTTTGTCGAAACATATCCGCATGTTAACTCGATTAGGATACCTAGATTAGGATATACGTGTCGAGTCTCCCGATGGAAAAATCTTCGTTAATTTGCTATCGTGCAAAACGAAAGTCGCCCCTTTGAAATCAATTTCGCTTCCTCGCTTGGAACTTTGTGGAGCAGTTTTAGCATCAGACCTATTGAAAACTATTGTGCGGGAAATAGATCTGGAATTTAATCAAATTTATTGTTGGACAGATTCGACTATAGTTCTTGCCTGGTTGAAGAGAACCCCCTCTAGTTGGAAGACCTTTGTAGCCAATAGGGTGTGTCGAATCCAAGAAAATGTTGGCAATTATAATTGGTACCATGTTAAATCTGAAGATAACCCCGCTGATTTAGGAAGTCGAGGATTGTCTCCGATAGAATTGTCAGCCTCCCCCTGTGGTGGAACTGCCCTAGTTGGCTAGGTAAAACTAAATCGGAATGGTCTATTCGTGATCTGGCTCCGATTAGTACTGAAATGGAAATGCGCCCCGTTAAATGTCACTTTGCTTTCTTTCCGTCGACCTTTAAAGAGATTTTGGAAGACTTTTCTTGTTTGCGTAGAGCTCTTCACTTCATTGTATACGCGTTTCGATTTATTCGTCAAACACATCCCCAGAGATTATTGACGCACGTAATTATTGTGCAATTACGGCTCAAAAAATATATTTCGTCAGCGATTATAAGAGTCTGTTAGACAAGAAGGCGTTAGATAGTAAGAGTTTGTTGGCTCCTCTCAATCCTTTCATAGATGACAATGGTGTCATGCGAATGAATGGTAGACTGGTAAATTCGCCCACACTTGCACCTTCGGAAATTAATCCTATAATTGTCCCCTTTAGGAGTGCCTTTGCTCTACGGTTGGTAGAATATACCCACCAAAAATCTGTTCATGGTGATATCCAGTTAATGATGCGAACTTTGAGATTGGAATATTGGATTCCGCGTATGAAAAGTTTGGTTCGGCTGGTTGTTCGTCGCTGTAAAGTGTGTCTTCTGTTGAAGAAACGTGTTTGCAGTCAATTTATGGCTGCCCTCCCCCTGAGAGAACAACTCTTAATCGACCTTTTACAAACACTGGCGTGGATTTCGCAGGTTCGTTTGATGTAAAATAGTATCTAGGTCGGTCTTGTAAAATAACAAAGGGCTATGTATGTGGGTTTGTATGTTTCTCTACAAAGGCAATTCATTTGGAAGCAGTGTCCGATTTGCCGACTGCTAATTTTATGGCTGCGTTACATAGATTTATTGCTCGACGTGGTTGTCCCCATTCCATTTTTTTTGGATAATGGAACAAATTTTGTTGGAGCATCGCGTGAACTTCAAAGAAATTTTAAAGATTTCCTCCAAAAAAGCGCTGACTCCGCCTCCTCGTCTTTATCCGACCAGGGCTTATCATGGTATTTTATACCTGCCGGTGCCCCTCACATGGGAGGGTTATGGGAAGCTGGAGTCAAGAGCTTCAAGTTACATTTTCGGAAGCAATTTCGAAATTTAAAATTCACGTTTGAAGAATTAGCAACGGTATTGGCTAGGATCGAAGCTTGTCTTAATTCTCGGCCGTTGTGTCCAATGTCGGATAATCCAGGAGAAATCGTTGCATTGACAAGAGGTCACTTTTTGATTGGTGCCCCTAACAAGGGGCCTGATCCTCTCATCACAGAGCAACCATTAAGTCTAATTAATCGGTTTAGGAAAGTTCACGCCCTTGCCCACCAGTTTAGTTTAAGGTGGAAAGATGAATATCTCAAGCAGTTGCATATGAGATATAAGTGGAATGTCGTCAGCTGCAGTGGAAGCAGTCCTTGTTGAACCGATCGCGGCTGTAAAAATATCAGAACGTGGGTCCGAATCCGATAAAGCGGATTCATCTGCGGCTCCGGTCCTTGATTCATCCCCCCAAAATGTTACATTACAAACCGAGTCCGGATCTTCAGGTCCATCTGCGGCTCCGGTTGCCACACCTCATTTGGAGGAGTCGGAAAAGAATTTAAGGTTCGAAACCCATAAGGTTTCATCTAAGGCCTCACATAAATGTCGCCTTTGTGATCGCATGCACCCGCTGGATAGATGTAGTGACTTCCGGGTTATGAATGTTGACATGCGACGCCGCATTGTCCTAAAATACAATGACTGCATACGGTGTTTATCTAAATCCCACCAAGCTAGGGACTGCCGAAGCAAAAGAAAGTGTGCCGTATGCAATGAAGAACACCACACCCTCCTTCATGAAGATACGAAGACCGTGGTTAAACCCACTAATAATCGTCAGCGTCGTCCGCGGACCGTGTACAGATATCGGTCACGTAACAGTCCGTATAGACGTCCGTCTGATAACGCTCCCCCCTCGCAGGTAGGATTGGTCGGCTTGTTGTCCCTCCAAACAGGTATCTGCCTATTCCCGACTTTGATAGTCAAAATTATGTCGTCCGATCGACCCACTATAGTGAGGGCGGTTTTGGACCCGTATAGTAGGCAGAGTCAGATATGTTCCTCTTTGGTGCATAATCTTCGACTCCCTACTTCTAGAATCGAAGGTAGCCAAATATGTCAGCTGACCGTTAGTTCGATCTATGACCGGAGTCAGTCCATTTAAATTGTGGCTATGGTAACCAATTTGGACCATGCGCTTACACCTACAGCGGTTATCCCAGAGCGCATTCGTGACTCATTTTTAGGTCTTCCTTTGGCAGATCCTGTTTTTAATAGGCCTGGTCGGGTGGCCTTGGTACTCGGGCCGGAAGTTTATGCCAGGGTCGTAACTCATCGGGTGCAAGCGACGCCAGGGTTGCCGATAGCCCACTACGCCATATTTGGGTGAGTATTGTCGGGCATATGTAACATATAGTGTTACACAATGTTTTTTGAAAAAAATGATATGAATTGAGAAATAAAGGAAAAAAATTTAATTAAATTGAAATTGAATTGAAAAAAAGTTGGAAAAAAATGTATTTATTATTGTATTTTAGTTACAACATCTCAATATGTTGCAAGGTGGACGGCATGTTTAATTTAGATTGGTAATTATTGTTTTGTAACGTTAACAATGGGTTGACGCATAATTAATTTGTAAATGATTAACCTCGTTTAGATCTGTCAACGTAAATGTAAACAGATTTCAACGAGTGGCGAATAGCGCCAAAGCCTCCACACTCCTTCATGTTTTGATCGTTGGTTTGACACTCGTCCCTTCTATCTCTCGATACGAAGTCAGGTAAATCTGGTAATCTGTTTTACCAATTATTATTTTTTATTATTATTATTATTAATAAATACGGCCATTGCCATTATTCTTAAAACTAAAACCCCCCTATTGTGTTTTTATTTATTTATTGGTTTGAGCTTTGCATTTTTCCCGCATTGGCGCAAACATTGGTGCAAAAATCTCAAAAAGTACGAAAACAACAACAAACATTAAATACACTATAGTATTTACGTTATTCTAACTTTAATAAGCTCGAAGGACCACAATATTTAGCTCAGAGGGGCTCCGCCAATGGGAGTGAAACGCCGAATGCGTCGAGCAGTGGACCGTAGGATATGTAAAAAAGATAAATAAAAACAAAAGGGTTTTTCTTAGTATATAGAACTATTTATTCTTAGTTTGGTGGGTGGGTGACAATATTACCTGTGGCAACAATATGCCTTTCTACGCACAACGATATGTGCTTTGCAAACGATATTGCGGGTGTTGTCTGTCCGAATGACAGCGAAATACTACTCGATGTCTAAAGGAGGCGGCAAAACAAGTGACAAATAATTAGTAGTTAAAATGTCAAAGGCGCTAGCACAAGGTTGCAATAAACCGTAGCGCGTACATTTTAACGACTAACACTGCCTTTACACCGTGGCATTTTTATATGCCATTTTTAACAATTCTCTTTTAAAATTTCTGCGTAAATCTTCGCGCCTTTACACGGTGGCATTTTATGATATTAGTCCTTGCCATTTTTTCTGACATTTCATTTTATTCAGTATTTCGTATAGAGCTGTATTGTTGTGCTAATTGTTTGTAACAGATATTTATAAAGAAGTGATTTAAAATTAAATGTGTGAATCTAAAGAATAAATGATGGAAAAAGTTATTGTCGATCTGGTCCTCATATTTATTAAAATTATTACCTTTTATTTTAACTTTCTTTGTTTACTTTTTAAAACTTGCAATTAATTTTCATATAATTCACTATACAATTCAATCACTAAACACATCACAATAAAAGAAACGCATAAAAAATTACAATAAAGAAACGATATGAAATGTTAAAATCATAAAAAATTCGGAAGAAGCAAAAAGAGAAATGCAAAGAAAATGGCATGTAACCCTGTGCGGTGGCTTATCGTGCCAATTTTTCTTCTATCCCTGTTTCTCTACACCTTTTACCAACAAAAAAAAAAGTGTAATTTAGGACCAAACCAGGGGTCAATAAATAGCAATATTTTATGCAATTCTAAATTAAACAATGAATGCAATTCGAATGAATTGAGATAGAAGGCTACAATTTTGCACACATGTTTATTTTTACAGTAGGCAGTAAGTTCGTAAATGGGCCATGTAGGTCCACGTTTTCATATCGCCCCCATATAACGGTACCTCCCTATACTCCCATTTTGATGATTTTAGCGACATTATTAACCGGAATTGTTTCAAATTTGGTATTTAAAGCTTCAAATGGATACTACAGCCTAAGACAGAAAATTGTCTGTGCAGGTCCACGACTTCGTATAGTCCCCATAAAACGGTACTTCCATATATTCGGTATTTTTTTGATTTTAGCGTCAT